TTTTTTTATATAAAGATCTGATTCAATTTTAGATTCTCCATTTTTCTTTTCTTCTGCACTTTTCTCCTTCATTTCCTTTCATCCTAAGTAACTCAATATGCTAGTTTATAGATATGTCATTGTCTTACCTATGTATACTTAAGGCCTACGATGATGAATATATTAAGAATTAATAGCTATAACAAAACTCTGGATGAATACTCCCTCTATAAAGCTCTGGAAGAGCCTTTATCTATTCTCTACTTTCTATTTTTCTATTTTTTATTCTCTTTCTGTTTTCTATTTATTTTCCTCTCTTTTCTTTCTTACTTCTCTTCTCTTTTCTCAATAGCCTTTTTCTCTTTTTTCTTTTCTTTTTTTAGCTTCTTACTGTCCTATGTCTATTCTACTCTATTGCCTTTCTTAAATTGCTATACTTATATCTTTAGAATTTTGATATTTGTATGACTTTTTAAAAATGTTCTATTCTTTTAATTCTCAATAAAATTAAAAAAATAAAAAATATATAATGCTTGTTTTGTTCTAAAATTGCAGGACTCCTGGGAATGATAGCAAACAAGCAAACAAACCCAAAAGTATGTCAGGAAGAACAGGTGATCTTTTTTTGGGGGGGGGAGGTTGTCACTATGTCTATAAATGTTCATGCTGGCTACTTAGCTCCCAGTTCTCTGGTGCTCTGGATTTGTTGGTTCACAACAGTACCAGTTGGTGGCTCCCATATCAGTGGGACAGTGAACACACTCAGTTTATACTGCAGTTTAAAGGCACTATCCAAGGTGCTGAACTCTGTCTCCATGTACAGCACCTTCAGTACAGTCTCTAAAACAGCGACAGGCAACCTTTTTCAGACCTGGGCTGGTCTGCCGTTGCCCAGGTCTCGGCTGGGCCGAGGGGGGGGGATGGCGGCGCGTGCCCTCCTCCGCCGCGTGCAACCCCCCTGCGCACGCGGCCGCCGCGGCCGCTACCATGGCCACCGCCGTAGCGTGCACGACTCCATCCGCCACGGCGCATGCCGCAGCCGCCATTTTGGGAGTCAAAATGGCAGTCGCGATGCATACTGCGCATGCGCAAACGCGTTGCGATCGCCATTTTGACTTCCAAAATGGCGATCGCTGTGAGCGCGGCCGAAAATGCTCTCCGATGGCGGCGAGCAGTGGCCGAAGGTAGCTGCTGTCGCCGCCGCCACGCACTGCCGTCGGAGCACATTTTCAGCCGCACCCGTGGCGATCACCATTTTGAAAGTCAAAATGGCGATCGTGACGTGTTTGCACATGCACAGTAGTCTTGCGCATGCACAAACACATCGCGACCACCATTTTGACTTTCAAAATGGTGATCGCTGCGAGCGCACCCGAAAACGCACTCCAGCAGCGGCACGCGGCAGCAGCGACGGTGGCAACCTCCAGCCTGGGCCGGTAAGTCCGGGGCCCAGGGCCTTAACCGGCCCCCGGGCCGTAGGTTGCCGGTCCCTGCTCTAAAACATGGTATAAAACCCAGAGCAGATCCAATGCCCCAATGATATGAGAGCCACTGGGGGCATTGGCACTAAGTCCAACTGAAGTTCAGTTCATGACAATAACTATATGCACTAGTGGGATGGTCACCTCATTAATATGTGCCACCACATCTGAAGAAAGACAACTGCATGGTCATGGCAGTATATAGAAACAGTGAGGAATTTATTAAAACAAGGTCTGGATGCAAAATCATCCTTCTCATCAGCTACTAGAACAGGGACGGGGAACATCTGATTAGTGGGTTGGATATGTCCTGTAGAGGAATCTCAGCTTCCTTTCAGGCTACTTCTGCTGCTACCGCTGATGAGCAGATATGAAAGGATATTTAAAGGTATTTAAGCATTAAAATATTGGGCATAGTACAAGTGTGCTTTGGATCTACCTTCTTCACTGCTTCTGAGTGATGAATAACTTGCAACTTGGAAGGGATCCCAAATGAGGATGAAGTGGTTCACCTCCATTAGATGCTAATTTAGAGGTATATACCTCAAGGAATTGCATAAAGGCCTGAACAAAAAAAAAAAAAGGGGGGGGAACCAGAGCTTCAGGGAAGATAGGTTTTGAACTAAAACTTCCAGAAGTCTCCAAGGGATGATTCTTGGATTTGTATTTGGACTAGTTTCAAACCTCTAGACAGCCCCAAACTAGTGGAGATGAAATGCATCATTCTCAGTAAGTATTTCCTGCCAGTGGCTCATCGTTTTGAAACACTGAGGAAGATGGATCACAAGAATATTTGCAGGATATAGTATAATATCATCATTCCTGGTGGGAATTCCAAAAGATTCTGTGTGTGTGTGTGTTGTGTGCCTTCAAGCCATTTCCGACTTATGAAGACCCTAAGCCAGGGGTCGACAACCTTTCTGGGGGTGGGGCCGTTCCCCGTCCCCCGATCTTCCCCGGGCCATCGTGGTGCACATGCGCACGCGAGCGCGGGGCACCATCCACGCTCGCGTATGTATGCACACCACGGCAGGTGCCGTTTTGGAAGGCAAAATGGTGCCAGCATTGCAAGCGCATGCGCGTGACGCCGGCACCATTTGGCATTCTAAAATATCACTTGCCATAGTGCACATGCATGCGCAAGCACAGGCGCCATTTTGGAAGGCAAAATGGTGCTCCACTTTGCGCGCGACACAGCGGCGGCGCGCACAATGGCAGGACCGGCCACGGGCTGGTTTCAAGGTGTTGGCGGGCTGGGTCCGGCCCGCGGGCTGTAGATTGCCGACCCCTGCCCTAAGCCAAACCTATCATGGGTTTTTTTTTTGGCAAGATTTTTTCAGAGGAGGTTAGCTATTGCCTTCCCCTGAGGCTGAGAGCATGTGACTTGCCCAGCATCACCCAGTAGGTTTCATGGCCAAGCAGGAATCGAACCTTGGTCTCCAGAGTTGTAATCCAATGCTCACACCACTATGCCAAACTGGCTTGATTCTATGAATTTTATTGCCACTGTGGGCTGCTAAAAAGGCAAATCAAGCCTGAATTCTCCCCAGAAGCCAAGATGACTAAACTAAGTCTGTTGTACTTTGGATATATCATGAGAAGACATGACTCACTAAAAAAGACAATAACGCGCCTTTACAGACTGCCAGAAATAATGCAGCTTGAGGCCATTTTAACTATCCTGGCTCAGTGCTAAGGAATCATGGGAATTGCAGTTTTTTCTGAGACATTGAGTCTTCTTTGACAGAGAGCTCTGGTGCCACAATAAACTACAGTTCCCATGATTCCTTAGCACTGAGCCAAGGCAAGTAAAGTGGTCTCAAGCTGCATTATTTCTGGCAGTCTGTGAAGGCCCAAAGCTAAGTAAGGTGGAAGGCAGAAGGAAAAGAGGAAGACTGCATTTCAGGTATATAGACTCAATTAGGAAACCAAGGCCCCGAGTCTGCAAGACTTGAGCAAGGTGGTGATGACAGGGTAACTTGGAAGTCTCTTACTCATGGGGTTGCTATAAGTCAAAGTCACCTTGACAGCAGTTAACAACAAGAAGAGTCTTAGATTAAATATAAATCATATTTATATTTACATGATCATAAATCATAATTGTATTATTATGGGTTCTTTAATTTCTTAAATTCCAGTACTTGTACAATGAGGTTATGAAGAACATTAAATATGTCCATATAATCTCATTGAATTATTTGGATGCACAGTCATAAATTTAAAGGATGATTTCTTCTTTCTCACCAAAGGTTGTTCTCATGAACCTCCTGATGGATATCCTTGTTATGTCAAATATAGGAACATCTCTATATAGGAACACAGAGAAATATATCAAATATAGGGACTTACTTTTTATGTCACAGTATAAATTAAATTATTTCAGTAAATTATTGGCAGGATTGTTAAAATTAGTTTCTGCTGACCACTGCTTGATTATTTATTGTTCTATTTGTTCTTACTTCTTGGATGATTTATTTTAAAATGCTTTAAATGTGTATACCACATAGGAATAAAAAGCACTGTATATGTGTTATAAATACATAATTTCCTTGATTTGCATATTCATTCTGTTTGCAAAATGCAAGGCTTTCTTTGGAATCTCCCCCCTCCCATCATGTGGGCAGAATTCATAGCTCTTTTGAATATAATGGATGTAAAATTTTCATTACCTTGGATTTGAGAAAGAGTATTTAATAGATTCATTCAGAACCTGGCAATCCTATAAATGTGAAAAGCAGCCAATTATTTGCAACTCCAATTTGATGTGGTGTTCAGTTCAAAGATATAAAAGATCATCAGGTTTGGGGGCTGCTGTACTTTGTATTCTCTTGGTTGGCTTCCCACGTCTAATTAATATCATCTCACCCGACACCATGTGCCATTTCCTGGTTTTCCTCCAATATGAAAGGCTTCTCTTCATCTCTTGCACTCTTTGTATTGTGGATTGTATGGATAGATTTATCTGCTAGACAATGGAACTGGCATGTGCTGTTGCTTTGATGAAAGACAGACATGCATTCCCACTTGCTGCACCAAGCAGAAAGTGAGCCTTTATGGATAGATCCCAAACCCAAATGCACAACATGGGGATTTGTAAGAAAGAGAAATAGAAGGGGAAGGAAAAGTAGGTTTCCATTTACCTGTGCCAAGTTTTGCAGCCCAATGCATCCTCAGTCAAAATACTGGGAGAAATATATAACCAACCTTTGGGATCAAACAATTTCTTCTTCACTTTGTCCAAAAATGGTGTATGTGTGTGATTTTAATTATTTTATTTATAACACATTTTTCTCCTAAAAGAGGATCCAAGACAACACAAAATATGAGTTAAAACAAAATGCAATTTAAACAATAATAGAATCATAGAATTGGAAGAGACAACAAGGGTCATCCAGTCCAAGCCCCTGCCATGTAGGAACTCAAAATCAAAGCATCCCAGACAGATGGCCATCCAGCCTCTGTTTAAAGACTTCCAAAGAAGGAGACTCCACCATACTCCAAGAGGTTCCACTGTCGAACAGCTCTCACCGTTAGGAAGTTCCTCCTAATGTTGAGGTAGAATCTCTTTTTCTGTAGTTTGCATCCATTGTTCTGAGTCCTATTCTCTGGAGCAGCAGA